AATATATCCAGTGCTCAGTGTGGAAATACACTCTGTGTGAAATATACCCAGTGCTCAGTGTGGAAATACACTCTGTTTGAAATGTACCCAGAGTTCAGTGTGGAAATACACACTGTGTGAAATATTCCCAGTGCTCACTATGGAAAATACACTCTGTTTCAAATACTCCCAGAGCTCAGTATAGGAAATACACATTGAGGACAAAAGGGTAACTAGGGAGAGAACAGGGGCCCTTAAAGATCAGCATGGCCACCTATGTGTGGAATCACAGGAGATAGGGGAGATACTAAATGAGTCTTTTGCATTATTATTTACTGTGGAAAAGGATATGGAAGATAGAGAAGATGGGGAAATAAATAGCAACATCTTGAAAAACGCCCATATTGCAAAGGAGGAGGTGCTGGCCATCTTAAAACCCGTAAAGGTGGATAAATCCCTGGGAGCTGATCAGGTGTACACGAGAACTCTATGGGAAGGAAGGGAAGTGATTGCTGGGCCCTTTGCCGAGATATTTGTATATTAATAGCTACAGGTGAGGTGCCAGAAGACTGGAGGTTGGCTAATGTGGTGCCACTATTTAAGAAAGGTGGTAAGGGAAAGACAGGGAACTATAGATTGGTCAGCTTGACATTGATGTTGGGCAAGTTGTTGGAGGGAATCCTGAGGGACAGAATTTACATGTATTTGGAAAGGCAAGGACTGATTAGGGTTTGTCAACATGGCTTTGCGCATGGGAAATCATGTATCATGAAATTGATTGAGTTTTTTAAAGAAGTAACAAAGAGGATTGATGAGGGCAGAGCGGTGGATGTGATCTGTATGTACTTCAGTAAGGCTTTCGACAAGGTTCCTCATGGTAGATTGGTTAGCAATGTTAGATCACATGGCATACAGAGAGAACAAGCTATTTGGATACAGAACTGGCTCAAAGGTAGAAGACAGAGGGTGGTGGTGGAAGGTTGCTTTTCAGACTGTGACCAGCGGTGTGGATTGATGAGGACAGAGCAGTGGACATGATGTATATGTACATCTGTAAGGTGTTTGATAAGATTCCATGTGCTAGTCTGGTTAATGAGGTTAGATCACATGGAATACAGGGAGAACTACCCATCTGGATATGGAACTGGCTTGAAGGTAGAAGACAGAGGGTGGTGATGGAGAGTTGCTTTTCAGACTGGAGGCCTGTGGCCAGCGGTGTGGTACAAGGATCGGTGCTGGGTCCACTGCTTTTTGTCATTTATACAAATGATTTGGATGTGAACATAGGAGGTATGGTCAGTAAGTTTGCAGATGACACCAAAGTTGGAGGTGTAGTGGACATTGAAGAAGGTTATGTCAGAGTACAATGGGATCTTGATCAGATGGCCCAATGGGCTGAGGAGTGGCAGATGGAGTTTAATTTAGATAAATGTGAGGTGCTGCATTTTGGAAAGGCAAATCAGAGCAGGACTTATACACTTAATGGTAAGGTCCTGGGGAGTGTTGCTGAACAAAGACACCTTGGAGTACAGATTCATGGTTCCTTGAAAATGGAGTCACGGGTAGATAGGATAGTGAAGAAGGC